TATATATATATATATATATATATATATATATAGTCAAATGAAGGAGATAGAAATCACTGGAATATGTTCTGATAATGTTTTGTACAGCACAATGTTTGCAAGTGCACTTTGATAAACATCTCTGCACAATCTTTTTATCCTGTGCAAATTACATGTTTCTTGAAGCATAACCAATTTTTATTGCAATAAGAAGTCAAGCTAGTTGTGGATATGGAGAGCATTTTCTTCTGTTTTCTTGTGGATTGAGTAAAGCGTATTCAGAACAAAGCTGTTTTGGGCTCAGTAATAATATAAATGGATAGCTCAAATATCATTTGAAACCATTTTAATTTTTCAGTTAAATTCTTTATTTTGTTCATTGTTCATATTGAGGGATCCTTGGTGCTTTCTGAGCTTGGTTATTTTCTTGCAAACATTTCATTACCCAAGCTAGGTCTAGCACTGATGATGTTACCTAGTTTGTGTAATGAAATGTTTTTGAAAAGTTCAAAAAGCACCAAGGACCCCTCATTTAAACCATGAGCTATAAATATTCTTCATTATTCATATTCATATTTGAGAATGCAAGGATCCTCTTATATCTGATTCTTCCAAACATCACTTTTCACTCTCTTTGGAGATGCAGTAAACAGTGATAGTTCAGAAAGAACACATAATTTATAAGAACAATGTTGCAACAGCTAGTACATACTTCTGAAGTTATATTGCTTGTTTCCAAACTTCTGTTCTTTTTTTAATAATAAAATTGCAGGATGTGTTCACTTCTTAGTAATTTCAGTTTTATTGCAACATATCTTGTTATCTCAACAATGCTTTGTAAGTGCTATTTTAAAATAACATCATGTACACATATAATTTCAAAATATTTTATTTACAATGCCTTCATATTGTAGTGGTGTTTGCTAATAATATATTTTGGCTGTTTTTATTTATATTCAAATATGTCAAAATTCCTCGTTAAAATTAATTGTTGCTATTTTGGTATCGTGTAGTTCCTCATGAGGATTTTTTAGATTACAAAAACAGATTCATTATTAATTTGGTAGCTCATTAACTGAACATATTCCTGAAGAAAAAAAGGATCAGTAAGGGAAGGAGGAGCTTTGCTGATCTACTTCCAGGAAAATAACAAAGCAGAAATGTCAGTGAAGTTTCTCAGTAGCATTCCAAAGCTATTTGTTGTATGATTACATGGAAAGTAAATTACAACAAAATAAATCCACAGCAATAGCAGAACAATAAAAGAAGGAACATATATGACATTAATTATAGATTTAGATTGCTGGCATAATGTGTTCATTTTTTCTGCTTTTTGTATTTCTTTGAACTTTTTTCTCTGTTGTAATATATAGTTTGTTTTAATGTTTAAGGTTGCAATTTACTCTGGTTGGGAGTTAAATCCCACTGAACATACTGTTTCTGTTTAGAATTTCAGAGTTAGTTATTTCTGACTAGTATTGGGCTTTTACTGCCTGTTTTAGACCACTTAAATTTTACTAGCCACATTTAAAAGGGTTCACTAGATACCAAAAATATCAATAACACTTAGAAAGCACTGTGAAGCGGTATATAAATCTAAGTAGTTTACAGAGTCAGCATATTGTCCCCAACCATCTGAGTCCTCATTTTACCGACCTCGGAAGGATGGAAGCTGAGTCAACCTTGAGCTAGTAGAAATCAAACTGCTGAATTTGTGGCAGCCAGCAGTCAGCAGATGTAGCCTGCAGTATTGCATTCTCTAAACACTGCGCCACCATGGCTCTATCCTTTCTCTCGAGACATTATAGGCTTTGTCCAGTGTTATAATTCTATGTTGTTTTTCAATGTGCTTTTGAAAAAGTTGATCACCAGTTTCTATTTTAGTATTAGTAAATTAGTAAATTGTTAGATTCTCCAAACTCAGATCCAAGGATCAAAAGTGGGTTTTGTCACATGAACCTGACCAATCATAACTCACTGAGATGTCAAATACACATTTTTATAACTTTGAAACAAAACTTAAGTATTTTGTTCAGTGAGGAAAATGTAGTTGCGTGTGATTTTTTTCTACTTTTGTAGTGTTGTTGTGGGATAAAATTATATATATTATTGACATTCATTGGAATTGCCCAATAACCAAAGCTAAAATAAAAATGTGTATAAAAGTATGATTTTATATTTTGATTTATAAATTTAATGCATCAAATTATAGATGACAAAGGCATAATCCCACTGTATTTATATTTGGGGGGTGGGTGGGGGGTGGTGTTACTAATCTAATTCCTATTTAGTGGACTAATATTGCTACTCCTTTGAAAGTCCTAAGAATATTGTTCTTAAAATGGAGATATATCTTTCTGTATATTTATCAATATATCTGTATATCTAGAGAAATAGAAATGAAGCACAGCATGATGTATTAGTTTTTGTCAATCCAATTATTTATTTATTGCAGACACTACAGTACCTTCAAAGAAGCCAAACCATAGCTATGTACCTGATATGACCAGATGGAGTATACAGAAATCAAATTGAATATATTGTTGGTACAAAGAGGTAGAATGGCACAGTTGTAATAGTAAAGATGTAACAAGGGGGTGTCTGTGGGACAGCTTACAAAAAGCTTACAAACTCCTTGCGTTTACATTCCAAGTCAAGATTGTCAAATGAGAGTCAAAGTCAAAATGGGAGAACAGAACTAACCAGTTTCCATGATATGATTTTGAACATATAACCACAATTTTCAAAGATAACATTGGAAATTATTTTGAAGTTCTGAACTTTGTTAAATAGAGAACCAGAGGAACCGTGGAATGAAATTTTTAACATTATTAAGGAAGAATGTGAAGATTGTCAAAGAACAAGAAACAGAAAAAAATAGATATCAGAACAAATGGTGAATGTTGCCTAGAATGTTGTCTATGTTGTCTACATCCCAAGAGAGAGATCTTAGAAGAACTTTTAGAGAGCTGTTAGAAAAAATAAGAAGCAGTATTCTCATGACATCTGTAAAGATATTGAAAATGGAAAAAGAAAATCTTTCAAAAGATTTCCAAACTCAGGAGGTTCCAACCTTGAATTGGTATGCTAAAGGATGCTAATAAATAGATAATGATAGATTCACAGTTGATCAAACGCAGATGGATTGAATACACTGTAATTTTCTACAGTATAGAATGTTAACATGTTACATTAGAAGATATTCCCGATTTACAAAAATTGAAAAGAACTGGAAGTACCGTTTTAAACTAACACATTTTAATTGTTATCAAAAAATAACTTCTGATTTTTGATTAGAATTCCTATTTATAAGAATTACTACTACTAGAAGATGAACTGATATTAGCCCTATGGCAAGCAATGGACTCATAATCTGTAATTGTTATAATCTATGCCAACAAAACTGGAAAATTTAAGAAACTGCAGAAACTATTGTACAATATCCAAAATCTCATATACTAGCAAAATAATGCTTAGGATCATCCTACAGAAATTAGAATCCTACATGGAAAGAAAGATGCTAGCTGATTTTAGAAAATGTTAAGGAATATCCATATGTACTTCATTGATTATAGAATGACCTTAAATTGTGTTGATCATGTCAAACTATAGAACAAAGGATCTGTGCTTAGGAAAATGGGAATCTTAAAACACTGCATTGTCCTCGTGCAAAATCTGTACACAAAATAGGAAATCACAATCTGTAATAAACATGGTGAAACAGACTGTTTTCAGATTGGGAAAGGAGTAAAAATAGTGGGAACAGTATTTTTATAGCTAAAAATATAAAGGATTTGGAAAGTCTGGAAATGAAATTCAAGGAGCACAATGAAAAGACGTGGGACTGAGATTAAACATAAAGAAAATCAAACTAATAACCGGTAAAGTAACCAGAACTGACAATACAAATATTGAAGTGGTGGAGAGCCTGTGTCTTTTTGGATTAACTGTTAACAGTCAAGAAAATAGCAGTCAAGAAAAATGCCAAAGTCTCTTGTGGTAGAGCCTTAAAACCCAGTTGAGTCAAACATGTCCAGGCTCAATTATCCTATTTCAGACACATGTGAAGTCTTATCTTTTTTGAGAATTCTAAAGAGACAGGAAAGAAGGAAGTAAATAAAAGACATGCAGCTGCAAGGTACATGGACTTGATTATAGTGGCAATGAGTGCATCATTGGAAGCTCTGAAAGGGCATATTGGGTACAGACCATCCTGGAGAAGAAGTTTATAGGTGGTCACTAAGAGTACACATCAACTCATGGCCCATTGTCAAACTATTGAGTGTCAGCAGGTGGCAGCACTTGGCTGACCTAGGCTTGAAAATTACAATGGTTTGCTTAGAACCTAAATGGGAAGTACACCAAGCTAGGCAAAATTGGGGGGGGGGGTTTCACAGAATAAAGGCAAAAGCAAACCATTTATGAATGTCAA